TAAAAAAAAAAAAAAAAAATCCCGTAATTGTAAGGCTTGGCATGGTTCTCTCAGAACACACTGCAATAGAAGCCTAACCTGAAGGATGTTTACAACTGAGACACAACATCCAATTTCATCCCCTCACACTTATCTGCCTACCGCTTATCTTCACTGCAGCACTGCTGTGCTTATCAGTGCACTGACCCCTGCTCCTCCACAAGCGGACATGAACACATTCCAGAGCCCCAATGACCACAGAGGAACTGAACATGGCAAACATGCAGCATTAGGAGAAAGCCACTGCGAGCTCTTCTAACATAGGGTCAAGCACACTGACACAGGAAGATACGCAAAGGACAAGGTAGGAGAAGTGCTATCTGCATATGTGGTGCTGAGCTCCAGAATGAATGTGTTGGCAGGACTGAGGTCACAGCAAGATGAGGCCAGCACAGGCTCTCTGTAACACACAGGACATACCCCAGATGAGAGAGACTTAAATTAAAGTGCAGAAGAAAAGAAGAATTAACTTCCAAACCTCCAAAGCATAGGGCTTTGTAGCAAGAGGAACCTTCACTGCAGACACCCAGCAAAAAAGAAGGAACAAACAGGACATACGTTGCCCAACAAGTTCTCAAATGCTTTGAGATTAACTTTGTTTATGTAGGAGATGAGAAGAAAGAAAAAGAAAAAAATTAAGAGAAAAAAAATACAATAAAAGGAAGGCTCTTCTAGTTTAATTCTAACCAAAGGGGAACTGGCTAAGAACATGAAAGTGGAAACAACTTGGCTGACAAAAGGCATAAAAAGGTAACTCTCACAATTCCTCAGACGGGCAAAACAGAGAACCACAAAATAAAGAAAATTAATGGTAAAACCACAAGCTATCTGAAACCCCAGCGAAATATGTGAAGCTTACTGACAAATCATCATAGCTGAGTATAGGCTCCTTAATGATTTTGAAATTCAAGAGATTTTGCACAAGTGCAAACCAAATCACTGAAAGTCCCTTTACTAAGCATACAGCACAGTTCACAAAATAAGAAAGGTCAAAGCACCAGTAATGAAACTACTGGCAGGCAATATCAAAGGTAACATGAAAATATTCCTTCACAACATCTGCAGAGAAAGAGCAGTTAAAGTAGGAGTGCATTAATTCACTGTTCAGTGGGAAGGAAAGTCTCTAAATAGATGATGCCAAAGCACTTGTGGCATTTTCTGCATTGATCTTCATTCACTAAAACGGATTAACTGGCTAATGTAACTCACATGACAGCAAAAGGAGCAAGAACTCCCAAGACAAAGTCAAGGCTCTGAAATTTCCCATACATGTTTATCAGCAAGCTTTAAACAGAAAGCATGATAAAGGCAATATGCTTCTGCAGACAAGAAGCTTCCATAAACTGATGGACTATTTTCAGGTGTTACAGTAAAGAGAGAGTACTTCAAGTTTTTCAAATCTGATAGACATAATATTTACCCTTTGAAAACTAAGGCAGTTATCAAAGATCATTTCTCTTCTCTGCATTAAGTTCCAACAGTGTGAAGAAGGGCAAAAGCACCTGCACAGAAGAAAGGAACCAAACACACAGTGAAACACAGACCAGTCAGGGATACCATCAGTCCCTGGGAAGATGCTGAAACAAATAACCAAACAACTTATCTCCTGCATATTTCAGATAATGAAGCAGATAAGATCCCACACACATAAATCATATCAAAAGAATATAATTTCTTCCAATGATGCAGTAACCATGTAAGTAGCAAAAGGGCAACTAGAGGCAATATAGTTTTGGTTTAACTGGACTCTTGACAGTCTTAAATTGATAGTCATGTAATCTAAACAAATACAGTACATACTGAAGTACTGAGAGATGAGTAGAAACCCAAACCTTGAGAAAACTTAGCTCTTTTTTCAGTCAAGAGAGAAAATAGGTAGCACGGCCATCCACATGGCTATAACCTTTTAGAATTCCCCACTATTATAAAAAGTAACTTGGGGGAGGGGTGCGGGGAAAGGGGAGGCCATTTACTGCAAGCAACTCCGTATTTTGCTCTTCCTCAGTTTGATTTCTTATAGCCGCAAGCAATAACTTCAAAAATCTCTCAGAAAACATCTTGTCCACAAATTATCCATTGGAAAATATCAGCACAGATAAGTCTTTTTCTTCAGTTAGCAGAGAATAATCTGGAACAGTTACAACCACTTGGATGGAAGGACTTAAAATCCAAAGCGATTTGAAGCAAGTGCAAAAGTCACCTGAAGCAGTATGTAGCTTGACAGAGCAAAACAGTAAGAATAATCAGCCGTGTAACAGCACAGTGAAGACAAACATAAACACTGTTCTGCCCAGAAATATACTGAGCAGCAAAGTGCTAAAGAATCTGGTGTTTATGCTAAACATAAGTCACATATCACACAGGCAAAAAAAAAAAAAAAAAAATCAAAAAATCCTTAAAGACTCATTGTCCTATTGAGACGTATGAAATGCAGATATCATATGAAAAGCATATTAAATAATTTTGACTCTGCCTCTTGTACTCATGATTCAGAGCACTCTGTCCAGTTCCAGTGCTCCAGAAAAATGCAAACCAAGTGGAAAAAACTCAAGAAAATCAATGAGAACAGCCCACAAATGTAAAAAAAAAAGAAATAAAAATCACTCAAGAGACTGAAAGGATTTCTTAAGTGTTGAAAACACCAAAGAGAAAGCCCCCAAAACATGTGACACATTCCTGCAGAAAACATGTAATAAAGAGTTCACAAGGTGTATAAAACACGTTAGAATTCCTAAATGCTTAAATTAACAAAATAAATTTAGATTAGAAATTAGGATTTTTACTGGCAAGAACAGCAAATTACTCAAATAGGTTGCCTAGGAAGGGTAAATCTCCATCAGAAACTCATGTTAGCTCTTTTGTTTTGAGAACTAGTTAAATATTCCTTCCTTACACCTGAAACACGGTGAATTTATGAAAGAACAAATGTCAATTACCTCCACTTTTCCCCTCATACTTCATTCACAGGTGCCTCATCTGAGCTTCCACCTTCCAGATTATTTATTACGAGAATTTACTGACCACTACAAATAAATTACTTCCAGCATGAAGGGCCTGTAAAATCATATGGAAGCAATAATAAAACCACAACCTTAAAGGAGATATTGCAAGGATATTACAGAGTAAAAGTGACCAACTAGAACTGCATCAAGATGGAGTTCACAACAAAACCAAAGAAATCCAGTGATCCTACTTACACAGTGACTTCAGCTTTACCCATACACGTATGCCATAAAGCAGTGATGCTCAGCTGCACAGACACCCTTTGCTGGGAAGGTAAAGGAGGGACTAAGAAGACCTTGCTGTGTCCAGGTAAGGTCAATCTGGGTGGGCCTGTCAATCTGGTAGCTGTTTCCCAGCAAGCATCCTGCAGAGACACTAGCTGCCTCAACCCAGGGCTACATAGATCCAGACTCAATTTGGTGTTGGATAAAACATTTGCCAAATACAGAAGTTAAAACAACAAGAGCTGGGGCAAGCAGAGACAGTCTTCGTGCAGCTGAGAAGACACAAGGAAACCAAGACAAAGATATCAACCCCAAATATTGTGTCAGCAGCTGGACCCAGTACAGCACAAAACATGATTAATTTTCTCAAGTAAAGCTCAGCTACGAAAAAAAAAAAAAAAACAAACACTTAGAACCAAAGCAGGAGAGCAAACTGACACATGCTGTCCTCTGCTGGAAGTGGCTCTAGAGGAGCTTGAAAGCAGAAGATCATCAAGACCACTACCCCTTTGATCTTCACTGGAATACAAGATAAAGGCATCATTTTAAAGCTGCACAGCCTTGTCTAAAAGCTTCTGAACTCCAGCTGAAGCTGCTCTTCCATGCAGCCAGCATCACTGTCACCAAAGGAGCTCTCCTGACGCTGCCCTCTCCTACACCACCACTACCAGGAAACCATCCGGACTCTCCCACACATCTTCACTCATGGAAGCAGAAGTGCTTGTGTGGCTGTAGAGAACATGACCAAATGAAAACTAACGCTTTTTTCTAAGAAAACTGCATAAATCCTTTGTTGCAATCCAGTTCACTTGCAACACTTATGTCAACTTCAATAAAGTTTTCAGGGTGCATCTTTTGTGTGTAATTCATGTGTAGTTTAAAAATATAAGCAGCTACTGCAGTAGGAGTCTTCTACTGCACGTATCTAGAAACAAGAGTAGATCCTTTAAAACTTCCACACCAACTAAGAAAAATGTCCAGATGTGAAAGTGAGAGTTCAAACTATTTGTGACTTACATCAGCTACAGTCTGTGGTGGGAATTATCTAAGTGTTCATTTTGGGGGAAAGAGAAATGAAAGTTATGACTCTCATTGAAAAAAAAAAAAAACCCAAAACAAAAACCGAATGAGTAAACAGCACCATCAGCACAGGTTTACAGGGGGATTTTCCAAACATGTAAACCAGCATCAAACCTTCAGACAAAGCATAACTCATCAGGAGAATTCACATGCCAGAAAAACGAACAAACAAAAACCTTCTTTTTTCTTCCTCCTTAATTACCCAAACACTGTATTAGATACAAACAAGAAGTTTTTACGTTGATGAGAAAAATATTTTTCTCTACGTTTCCCATTTCATAGCCCGAACCCCACACGCCTTCGGGACAGGAGCCGAGTAGTATGTGTTGCCCTCCTCCCTGGCATTTCACTCGAGATGCAGCCGAAAACAACGCTTTAGACCCACCCACATCGCGATCCGGCCCCCGGCCCGAAGACCAGCCGCTGGCCACGGCGCTCCCCCATGGAGAAGCAACCAGGGGCCCGGGCCGCCGCACAATCGCCCCGTTGGGCTGGGGTCACCCCCACCCCCAGACCGGCCCGGGGAGCGGCCGTTCCCCCAGGCCCCGCCGCCCGGCACCACCGCCGTGCCCAGGCCGGGAAGCCTTTCCCCTCTTCCCTCACCACGGCCGTTTCTCTCCGGTCCCCCCAGGACTGGACGGCGGCCCCACTCACAGCGTGTGTCCGCAGACGTTCACCATCAGCTTCAAGGAGGGGTTGCGGTACTTGGTGGTCTTACACCGCGGGCAGCCCAGGTCATCCATATCCATGGCCATGGCTGCAGCCACCTCCCTCTGCCTCCCCCCCGGCTCCCCTCCCGCTGCCTCCATCCGGGCCTTCCGCCTTCCGCCTTGCCGTGCCTCTGCCAAAGGGGCCCGCCGGCACAGCCCGCCGCCCCGCTCGTTCCGCCTGCCGTGGTGCTCGGCCCGCCCCGCCCCGCTCCGCACCCCTCCCGGCCACGACCACCGCCAGGCAGAGCCAGCCGGCGGCCCGGGGTGGCTGGGCCAAGCAGGTACGAGCTGCACCGGGCAGCACCTGCCTGGCGTTGGGGAGGAGGAGCAGTCTGTTCTGTCCCGAGAGCTCCGGCTGTAACCGGGGGGGGGGGCCCTCCCCCATAATGAATAATCAACAGGAGGCCGAGGTGCCGTCCGTCACCCCGGGTAACCACTGCCTTGCCCCTGCGAGTTTGGACTCTCCACACACGAGGCTGGGCGGCTCAGGTGAGGGGACCTATGGCCACCGCCCGCCTCCCTTCGCCCGCGGGGCGTCCCTGCAGCGGGACTCCGCTCTCCAGGTGGAGGTGGGGAGGGGGCAGAGGAGCGGAGCGGGGCCGTTTGATTGACGGTTGCCCTGGAGACGCGAGAACCCCCCGCCCCCCCGGCGCGGCGCAGCCAATGGGCGGGCGCGGCCGGGCCAGCAGGCTGCGGTGCCATATAGTATTGCAGCGGGGCTGGGAGTCACGTTGGGGGGAGCTGCGGAGAGGAGCCTGTTTATACTACTTTGCTATAGCAGCTATCTTTAATGGTTACTGCGTGGCCGGGAGGAAACCTGATCGGCTAGAGCCGGCCGAGAGCAGGAGGAGGAGTGGACTTTACAGAGAGATAGGAAGGGGGGAGAAGGGGACGGGGGAAAGAAAAAAAAAAAGAGAAAGAAAAAAAACCAAACCGAAGTATGTCTTCTGCCTCCCCCACGGACGAGATCACGAGCGCGGTGGAGATCAAGCAGGAAAATGTGATGGAAATCCTCTCTGAAGCCAGCAAGGTGTCCCCCGACGGGGCCGCGGCTGGAGCCCTCAACTCGGCACCGCCGCCGCCGCCCCCTCCCGCCGCGGCCCCGTTCCCTATGGAGCACACGGGCTCAGCCGCCGCCACGGAGGAGGGAACCGCAGACCAGGTACTGCTCCATACGGAACTCCTGGCCAGGAATCACCACGCTGCCTCCTCTCCCTCTTCTTCTTCTTCTTCTTCCTCCTCCTCGCAGACCCCCCTGGCTTTCTCCCCGGACCACGTCGCCTGCGTCTGTGAAGCACTGCAGCAAGGTGGGAACCTGGACCGCCTGGCCAGGTTCTTATGGTCTTTGCCCCCGAGCGATCTGCTACGTGGCAACGAGAGCCTAATGAAAGCCCGGGCGCTGGTGGCTTTCCACCAGGGCATCTACGCCGAGCTCTACAGCATCCTGGAGAGCCACAACTTCGACTCCTCCAACCACCCGCTCCTTCAGGAGCTCTGGTACAAGGCTCGCTACACCGAGGCGGAGCGAGCCCGGGGCAGACCCCTGGGGGCGGTGGACAAGTACAGGCTGCGGAGGAAATACCCTCTGCCTAGGACGATTTGGGACGGCGAGGAGACCGTCTACTGCTTCAAGGAGAAGTCCCGCAACGCGCTGAAGGAGCTCTATAAGCAGAACCGGTACCCCTCGCCGGCCGAGAAGCGCAACCTGGCCAAGATCACTGGGCTGTCCCTCACCCAGGTCAGCAACTGGTTCAAGAACCGCAGGCAGCGGGACCGCAACCCTTCCGAGACCCAGTCCAAAAGGTGAGGGCAAACTTTCCTCCCCGCCCCCTCTCCCGCCTGCCTTCCCTCTCCCGGCTCTTTCTTCCCTTGCAAACATGGCGCTTACCTTCAGTGCGCCTCGTCCTCCCCTCCTTCCTCCTCCCCGCTCCCTCGCTCCCACACACCCACCCGGCCCGGGCACGCAGGCACGCGAGCCGCGCCGAGACAGCGCGGGGAAACTTCCCGGCCCCGCCGCCCCCTTCACAGCCCCGCTGCTCATTCCTTCCCCCCGGCCCGGGAGCCCGCGGACACCGGCGGCGCGGTCTGGCTCCGGGGAAGGGACGGAAGGGGGGAGTGTTTGTGTCCCCCCACTCCTTGTTTTTATTTAATTGTCGCGCCTGACAGAGTTAATCATTGACGCGGGCGCAGGACGCGCGGGGGTGTGGGGTCCCGCCGCTCGCTCTGTTTTGAAACCTGACTCGGGAGCGGGCCGGGCTCGGGTTTCAGCGGGGGAGCGGGGCCGGGCGCGCCGGGCCTCAGCGGCGGCTCTGCCGAGCTCGGCTCGCCGCAGGCCTGTCTCTCCAGCCCCGCAGCCGTTCGCTCCTCGTGGGGCGGGAGAGCCTCCCCTACCCGGCCCCGCTCCGCCCGCGCCCAGGGATCCGCGCTCCCCCTCGTGTGTCCCTCCCCGCTGCCGGAGGGGCCGCGGCGGGGGCTCGGCGCCGGGAGGCAGGCAGGTGGAGGTGACCTCCCCGCTCCCGCCCCCCTCCTTCCTCCCGGGGTAGGGACGGGAAGGGAGGGGGGGAGGAAGGGAGAAGAGGGGAAAGGAGGGGGAAAAGCGGCGCAGGGCCCCAAGGCATTTCTCAACCAAGGGCGCGATTGTGCCGCCGCGGCCCCCTCTCCGCGGGACACTTCAAAGGCCGAGCGCCGAGGGGGAGGGAGCGACCGAAAAATGCAGTGGAGGGAGGACCAGTCAGAAAACATCAACCCGGCGCAGCTCCGGGCGGAGGGGCTTGGCGGGGCCGGGGCGGCCCGCGGGGAACGGCGTAAAGGCCGCCCACCAGCCCCCTGCTCAGCTCGAGGCGGCCGGGCTGGGGTGGCGGGGTCTGGGGGTCGGGCGGCGCTTCCCGGCCTGCTTTCTCTCACCTCCCGGGGATTTACCAAATGGCTGCGGCCCTTCTCACACGTGTGGGCACGCGGGGCCGGTGGAGGGAGGCCCGAGGCAGCCCCCTTCGGTTGCCCGGATCGGATGGGGGCAGGGAAGGAGGGAGAGATTTAGGGTTAGAGTTAACCCAGGCTGTAAAGTTTCTCTTAAGCGAAAGTTTGGTTTGCCCTTTTCTAAGAAACCTTCCCCTTGACTTGAAACTCATTTAAAAGTGCCTTGCAAAGGCAAAACAAAAAAAAACCTCTTTGGGAAAACTCTCACAAACTATATCAAAGCAAGGAGCCCTCCTTGCTGCAGAGCTTGCTGGCACGCCGTGGTAATACAATGTCATCTCTCCATCTTTTCCCATAGTGAGTCAGATGGCAACCCTAGCACAGAAGATGAATCCAGTAAGGGGCAGGAGGATTTATCTCCCCATCCACTCTCCAGCTCATCTGATGGCGTTACCAGCCTCAGCCTTCCTGGCCACATGGAGCCCGTCTACATGCAGCAGCTTGGAAACACTAAAATAGCCTTGAGCTCATCTGGTGTCTTGTTGAATGGAAACCTCGTGCCTGCCAGTACCTCTCCCGTCTTTCTCAATGGTAGCTCTTTTCTTCAGGGACCCAATGGTGTCATTCTCAATGGACTCAGCGTGGGAGCTTCACAGACTGTTACCTTAAATTCGCCAAAAAACACATCAAGTGTCGTGAGCAACGGGGTATCCATTACTGATATACTGTCATCTTCATCAGAGGATGTTAAGGACTTCAAACTCCTTCAAGCTTCAGTCCCCAATGCCACAGCAGCCACCTTCAGCCCCAGCAACATCCCAGTCTCATTCCCAGGATTGATACCAAGCTCAGAGGTGAAAAGGGAAAGCGTACAAACTGCTGCTTCAGAAGATGGAGGCTCTGTTGTTACTTTTACTGCTCCTGTCCAAATAAACCAGTATGGCATTGTCCAGATCCCCAATTCAGGAACAAATGGCCAGCTGCTGAACGGAAGCATTGGTTTTTCTTCTCTGCAGCTGCCTCCTGTTTCTGTGGCAGCTTCACAAGGTAAAAGTTTTGTCTCTTACAGTAAAAGGTATGAGAACAAGTTGGAATCAGGCACACTTAGCATTTTAGAAGCTGTGGTACACTTCCTCCAAGGTACTAGGATTGAATCTCAACCATGGCTACACACAGTACATCAAAAGATACCTTTTGGCTTCCTTTATAGTGGGTTATGCTCAGAGCAGACTGTGACATGAGGCTGAGCTCCTCTTGGAAGAGCAGAGAAGGAGGTCTGGTAATTTACACCCCTTTCATCTCGTGCCGTTCTCAGAAGTCTGTGATACCGGTCTTCACAAATATCTGTAAATTTTACACATTTCAGTAATTCAAAATATTTCCCATTTGCCACTGATTTCTTTTAATGAGAAGGCTCACAAGAATGAAAATTGCAGCAGCTGGAAATTGTTACCATCATTGTTCTTCTGGTAGTTGTTTTGGCTTTTTGGTTTGTTTTGTTGTTTTGTTTTTGTTGTGTTTTTTTTTGTTTTTTTCTTTTAACCAAAGCATTTCATAAAAGCAAATTTTCAATGACTGTAGACACAATATGACCAAACAGTTATGTTGGTACATTTTCTGTCCTCTAATTAAGAAAGATTAAACTGCAGGGAAACAATAGAAATAAGCAATAGCTCGTAGATACGAAATGTGAGGGTATTTGGATAGAACTGCATTCAGTCCAAGGGAAATAAGTCATCGCAGGTTCATGTGCCAAGTGTGCAGGCTCCTCCCCAAGTTTGCTTTAGAGTTTGTCTTAACATATCATAGACTGAAACTTGCAGCCAGCCAGGAAGAATCCCAGGGAGCACAAGCCTTGTTCTCGGATCCTTGTTTTGAAGCAGGTTATAAAGCACAACCAAACAGCTTCATTACTCAATATCTTTGGTTATGAAAATGATTAAACTTCTATGAATCTCTCTACTTTCAGGAGCTGTGAGTACTATAATGAAAATGAAACTGTGCTCACATTAGCTTATTTGAATTAAATGTGTATAGAGAGCCAGTGATTCTTGCTGTGATATGGGAAGGAACACTAAAGGTATACAAACACATTTTAAATGGATGCACAATTATTAGATCCTACAATGTGACACACATGGTCACTGGAAGTTACTGGTACATAGTTAACCAAGATGGAAAAAA